AGGCATCCGATCGCCTCCCTCACAGGCTTATCCACCGCGGGCTCGTCATCTCTCTTCGGCCCTAGGTCGGCATCGGTGGCAGCAGGGGTGAAAGCGGTCGTTGTCACATCAATNGGCCTCGTCAGCTTCGTCCACATCAGGCATCCGATCGCCTCCCTCACAGAAATATCCACCGCGGGCTCGTCATCTCTCTTCGGCCCTAGGTCGGCATCGGTGGCAGCAGGGGTGAAAGCGGTCGTTGTCACATCAATCCGCTTCAGCATACTCTCAATGTATGCTGTCTGGGACAGCTTGGTGATGTCATTTTCTACATCCATGGCGATAGCACACCCGTCGTACCAGGTACACTCCCCCAGGTCTTTCACCGGAAACTTCTTGTTNCGATGAGGGCATCGGCAGCTTCAAACCCCCACTCACGGCCACTCTGCTTTAGGCCATACAGGGCACGCTCAACCTTGACCACCTTGCCGGACATGACCACAGCCTTCCGGGAACCTGAGGTATATTTTTTCTTTTCGCTTAGCGTGGATGTACGCTTGCGTCACATCCCAGTGAGCGAGTTTCTTGCCCTTTTCAGTGGCTACGGCAATCACCGTCTTGATAGACGCTGCAGACGGGCACACTGAGGATGAGTGGTGGAAGTCGATGCCGGGGATTTGAGAGAAACCCCGCGCAACCATACGGGCCTTGAAGTCGACTATCAGGCCCTTCTCATTCGTCTTCCAAGAGAACACCCACTTTGAACCTATGGCCTTCCGCCCCTCGGGCAGCTCCTTGACCTTGGTAAAGGTTCTAGTCTTGTCGTGGCCACCTGTCTCTTTCTTCATGGCCGCCTCCCAGAAAACCTTGTACTTGGAACACATCACATTGNACCTATGGCCTTCCGCCCCTCGGGCAGCTCCTTGACCTTGGTAAAGGTTCTAGTCTTGTCGTGGCCACCTGTCTCTTTCTTCATGGCCGCCTCCCAGAAAACCTTGTACTTGGAACACATCACATTGTCGTACGTCATCGGTACTGCTTCCACATCACTCGGCTTCTGCCCGATTGGCGAGGTCATACCTAGCTGTGGGTCTGGGAGTGGTTGCGAAGACCCGCTGGCGTCGACCTCGGCCCCGAACGCCTGCTGTTCCGGGCCCAACACCTCCTGCATCTCGCGCCTGTACATCTCCTCCATACGGCGTGTCTGCTCCTCGTCCCACTGCTCCTTCACAAGCGAGCTGCAGATGTAGTCCTCAACAATCCCCGTCCCGCCAGTTTTCAGGATCGTTGCCAGCAATGCCTCTTCCGGGTCCGGTGTTTCTCCGGGCACCGGCATCTCCCCGGCACCTTGCATCTCCCGGGCCTTCTTCCGCGTGCGGCCACTCTCAAGCCCATGGCGCAGCGGGCCAGCGTTTGAGGCGCCCCAGAGGAGTTTCTTCCCTTCTAGCCCGCGGGGGTAGCTGTCGTCGGCTGGATCATACTTCAACTCCTCGAGGTTCTCGGAGTCGCCCGGATCACCATCGTTACCACCGTCCCCACCTGGGTCGCCGGACTCTTCGCCGCCCGGGCCGCCGGCACCGCCGGCGTCACTGCTGCTGCTGCTCGGGCTGCTGCTGCTGCTGCTGCTGCTGCTGCTGTCGGTGGGACTGTCACTGCCTCCGCCGAAGTCGCCCCTTCCCGAATGGGGCGACGGGGAAGNCTGTCGTCGGCTGGATCATACTTCAACTCCTCGAGGTTCTCGGAGTCGCCCGGATCACCATCGTTACCACCGTCCCCACCTGGGTCGCCGGACTCTTCGCCGCCCGGGCCGCCGGCACCGCCGGCGTCACTGC